TGTTACACAGCAGTGTTGTGCAGCTGTGGATAATGCCCCTCAGCTATCCACAACATAATAGTTAAAAGCATATATAGGAGTGAGTGAGGTGCTGTGCATGGATGCTGTCATGTCCATTAAAATTCTCCAGGTCACCTTGGGAGTGTTGCAGTGCCCACAGAGAACTGTAGTGAGTTATTATTCTGTTAACAAGCTCATAGAGCAGTCTGTAATGAGCTGTGTAGCCACACTTACTGTGGTAATGAGGTGGGCTTGTTCGTTACCTCAATGGCAAACCACTGTAAGAATTCTGGGTTATTACCGTATCGATAGAATGACAAGGGCATTGGAATAAGATGTGTGGAGTCTGCCAAAAGAGGGACTCGCAACCTGGATGCAAGAAGTGCCGCAGAACGTTTGCTATTGGCAGTTTTAGAGACTCATGGGAAGAGATGAGCTGCCTGTCAACCTTTTTCTTCTTCACTCTTTTTGGCCCTCTGTCAAACGCACACACACACACACAGCACACACAGTCCTCTCTGTCCTTTCTCTCTTTCTCTCACATACTCTCAAAGCAACTCTCCAATTAACCTGATGCCTCTCGTACCGCCGGCTCTTTGAAGTCCTTTTGCACAGCACTCTCCTGCGCTAGTTGTGTGTTCTTTAAACTCTCATAAAGGCTGCTGGCTGCTGAGGCGTCTTTAGTATAAGAAGTGGGAAGAGTATACAAATTATGGCTCCATCATGAAGATCAAGTCTGATAGAGCTGGTAAACAAGAGTGTAGATTAGGATTTGCGATATTTACCTTTTGTATGTGATGTGACCCTTATGAGTCAGGGCAGGAGCAGTCTGCACACTGGCCTGAAAGATGGTCTGTTACATATATCAAAAGGAAAACATCTAATTCCCCAAGTGTCAGCTTTGTAATAATATGATCATTAATTGCGTTAAGTATTTTATGCTATCTTTTCCTGTAATATATTTCATTACATTTTTCAGTAAAATTAGTAGCCTAACTGTATCTTAAAGGACCTATTTGTAAGTTTTGCTATTGCTGCAATAGCGAGCTATTGCTTCAGCCATTGTTGAATTTACAATACAAGAAATTATAATGCAAGCAGCTCTACTTCTTCAGGACAGCCTGGACGCTACAGTAAAAAGTGACAAGACAGTCTGACCGGACCGAGGCTAGCTGGTTAGCATGCTAACTTCTGTAAAAGAAAAGAAGTGATAGAAACAGAAGCAAAACAAAAGGATTCCTTTACACCACTGAGGACAACTCCTGGCGAGTAAAGTTTGTTGCTGTCCTGGCTCTAGACAAGTGAGTAAACAGCTATTAATTGGCTAATATTGGCTATGTAGCAATAGCAAAACTTACAAATAGCTCCTTTAAGCCTTTCCAACTGCTATGGCTTGTAAAAAGAAAAAAGGAAAAAAAAAACTCCAAAGTCTTCCAGCGTTACTGTTTCAGTTTACCTTTCTCTCTTATTCTCTCCATGTTTGTGTTGATTCCTTTGTCAGAAAGAACTGAACAAACAGGGGTGGCAGGGGAAGAGCCAGGGGAGATAGTGTGAAGATGGTGTTGTTTCCTCAAATATAAAACAAAAAAAATTATATTTGGCAGTTTTCAAACATACCTGGATATATATCCAAGAGGCTCACCATTACAAAGTGCTGTATACAAGAGAAGGTCTCTGCACCATAATTTGGGATTGGCATAAATATATTTACTGAAATATCATATCACAGGTACAAAAACAGTCTACTATTTTGTTTTGTGAAGGTAGTAATCAGTCAATTTTCATTGCATCTTTTTATCAGCCGTTGCATTTGGCAGGTCCTCCAACCAATGAAAAAAATGATGCTTTACAGTAAGGGTGGGCAAAATCGTAGCAGGATCTTTTTAACACAATTTACTCATTTGGCAGACACTTTTATCCAGAGCGACTTACAAGTGCAGGACATCACTGAAGCGTCAGTGCAGTAGGAGACCTTGGCATACGTACTAAGTACTACATCTATTCAATAAGTGCAAGGAGAAGTGCACCGAAAGTGCATAGTAAGTGCTAGTTAGGCATGCTAGGGTGTTAGAGGTGTTAGGAGAGGAGTTGCTCTCTCTTCGACAGATTCTTGAAGATGGAGAGGGACGCCTCTGCTCTGATAGCATTCGGTAGATTGGACCACAAACAAGAACAGTCTGGACTGCAATTGCCTTGAGTGCAGGGATGGCAATGTCAGACGACATTCCCTTGGAGGAATGCAGTGGCCAAGAAGGACTATGGTTCAGTTCAAGTAGGCGGGTGCAGACCCAGAACTCACTCTGAAGCATTAGTGATTTGAATTTGATTCGGACGGCCATGGGTTGCCAGTGTAGGTCGATGAGTAGCAAAGTGACATGTTCCTTCTTGGGCTAATTGAAGACCAGACGGGCTGCTGTAGTCTGGACCATCTGTAGGGGTTTCACTGTACGTGAAGGGAGGCCCGCCAAGTTCAGTTGCAGTCTTCCTTACAAATTTGAAATGTACTGTTCAGAGTATCCAGAATCATGCAAGTCTATGGACTTATCTGTTTGCATTAGTTAAAACACAATATTGTATTGAAGACACTGTTTTCAAAAATGGTCATGCGCATCAGTGTCTTAGATGCCATGTTGTCCACAACGGTGAAGAATACCATGTCCTTACCTAGATAGACTGTGACTTATATGCTTTTATCATATTTTTTCGACTGCTCTAATGCAGTAGATCAGTGTTAACTGTTAATGTTTCAAGACCTTGTGATGCAGAAGAGTCAGGTTGTACCGACCTCAGTGAAACACTCCGCATGTTCCTTTGGAAGTTCACAGATAACTTTGCTTTGAGAAATAACTGACTATGCATACACAGTATTGGTGTCGAGTCGACCCTCCCCTCATTAATATATCATGCATGAAAGAGACCATGTGATAGAGACCAATCAGCACAGCCATCTTTTGGGCAATCACTCTTTTGGTCCGTGAACCCAGCGCGTATCCATGTTATTAAGGTAGACCAGGCACAGTTGGTACAATGGTAAAATGTCATGATCTCTATGATTCACTTGAAAAGGAGATCAGGGACGTCTTCAAGATCGATCATGATGTAAAATCGTCAGATTTCATGCCGCTACTTTCCAGTCCTCATAAATTACAAGAGCCTTTTTTGTCTTGATCCCTCACTTCCCCTTTTCTATATTGCTAGAGGCAAAAGAGTGGTTTGCATCATCTCCGCAGAGGATCAGAAGGGCCGTGCTGTCTCATTTAAGAGAGGATCTATACGTGGTTTCCTGAGCCTGCTGCGTTAAAAGGGCAGCAAGAGAAGGATGATGTAAAAACAGATGATTCCTACGTGCCAGTTATTCAGCTGTACTCAGGAAAGTGGCTACATCTACTATCTGAATATCAACTAACTGTGTTAAACCTGTGAGCTCTGGTTATGAATTCACAGGCATTCAAAGGGCAAAGTATTCTATTTGTATCAGAGTATTATAGATTCTGCCTTGTCTTTGTAATGATTAAATAGAGAAAACAAACCCTGTTTCTTCTGCGCAAAGTGAAATCATCATTTATCTGATTTATTCAGAAATATTGGAGGAACAGAAGCAGCATAGTAGTATCCCTTTGTATCCCTATGGAATGTGACATGTTTAAATGTTTGCAATATTTGTAGAATACTAACATTAATATCTAACACTGATGTTTACATTTAATAAACTGCTAGGTCAGGCATTGCAGGAAATGTTCCAACTCATGTAACCCACGAAGGAAGGGCGGATGTACAGCACAGACCTTGAGCGAGTTTTTTTGCAAAGGCAGGAATTATTTTGACACTCACAGAAAAAAATCTGCTCCAACACAATCATCCTCTTCGGTAAAAAAAAAACAGATGTGTTCGCAGTTATCTGTGGGATGGGGTTTACAGAAGTCTCATATTTGAGTCAGTCGCAAAAACCTCTTGTATCAGTTGATCCCTCTGTCAGTATGAGATAGAGGCTACCCCAGCCTTGTTTAGAGTAATTAAGCCCCAGTATACAAGTTCAGTTGGTAATGATAATGAAATGTTTCTAATGTTCATATCACTGCTCTTCACAATAGGAGTTATTTAAGAAAGACCTTCAGCGCGACCCAATCACTCACTGTTTGGGCAAACCACACCGTCACTTAAGGCTTAAAGGTCCACACCTCCTGGCAGCAGGTGCAGCTCCTGCGTTCCTGCTCTCGAGTGTAATGAAGTGGCCGACCAGCTGAACCCAGTTTCAGCTCTGCAGCATGAAAATGTTCCCCCGGTCTGTCGGGACTCCTCATTACTGCCCTATGGTTTTGTTTACGAGCTAAACTGCTCACTGCATAGTGTCAAACCTCAGCCAAAAGGCCATGTCTCACATTCCAGCCCATTATGCCGCAGCTGCACTGCGTCAACCAGAAATGCCCCGAACTAGTTCAGGGCACATGTTTGTGCTGATTGTGTTTATTTCTGGTCTGCATTTGTGTGTGTGTGTTTGTTTGTGTGTGTGTGTGTGTGTGTGTGTGTGTGTGTGTGTGTGTGTGTGTGTGTGTGTGTATGTGTGTGTGTGTGTGTGTGTGTGTATGTGTGTGTGTTTGCATCTATGTCCAATGTATAAATATATGCTGTGCTTGTACTGCATGTGAGTATTCTTTCGTGTTTGCATCCTAATCTTCCCTATTATGATATTGCCCAGCTTTATAGTGACGCTTACACCCACATTACTGTTAACACTGAATGACCTCCTCTGCTTTTGTATTCATGAGATGGTCCTCTGTTTATTTGCCCATAGATTGATATGGCGTTTTAAATAGAGCCAGTGCCCTTAATATTTTTCTATCTTGAGAGAATGGAGATAATAAGGGCCTCCCATTTTGACTGTTGTGATGAATATTGCTGCAATCCACCTGTCTGCTTTTGTTATGAAGTGAGATTGTAATAGTTTGTCCTCTCTCTTGTTGTCCTCCTCTCCCCTTCTCCTCTGTCCGTTTATCCATCAGAGAGCCAGCTGCTTCCAGGGAATAACTTCACCACAGAGTGCAACATCCCTGGAAACTTCATGTGTGGAGATGGGAAGTGTGTCCCAGGCGGATGGCAGTGTGACGGATTGCCCGACTGCTTTGACAAGAGCGACGAGAAGGGCTGTCGTAAGTCCAGTTTAGGTTCCATTATCGAATCTTTTTTTAGCTCTTAGCTGTGCCTTAAAGGAATGTATCCAGATAGCCAGTTTAGTCATGTCTTCTCAACTCCTGAACTCCTCGTGCTGTGCAGAATTGCAGTCGAAGTTCTCCCTTCCCTATCCGTAGAGCCATAAGGGCCATTTAAACCTAATTCTCTGCCAGCTTAAATGAAGTCCCCTCCTCGCTCTCCCCCACAGCATGCATCCCTCCTCCTCCTCCTCCTCCTCCTCTCTGCGAGACCCTCGGCCCCAGTTTAGCACCAGGGCAAAACTTAATACCATCAAAGCAAAGGCCGATTACTTCTATGTGCAGGAATAGTAGCGCATGCATAATTCCACTGTAAGGCTACAGTAATAGTTCAGTTTTGATCCTCACTCTTAGTTGGGTTTGATCTTTCTGGTCTGCTGCTCCTCCTTCTCCCCCTCCCGTCTCAGCCAGAGCTCCACACAAAGATGGGATTGCTGATGAAGATTGACTTTGAGGCCCTGCCACACTGAATGGAAACACCCATCTCCCGATATATTCATCTCTCTAAATGTCTCGCGCTCCCGTTTTTCCTCCTCTCCGTGCCTTCCCTCTTTATCTCATCTGATGATTTTTGGCTTTTGGCTTGTAATTTGCTTCACAGAGACTTGTTTTCAATTAGAAAAGCATAACACGCATCTTGCCGAGATTTTTATTTTTTATTTATTTTCCGGCTAATTCTCTGCCAGAAAAAAATCACCCATGGTTTCTCATCCATTCTGTCACCTCTCCTTATTTCTAGCTCTTCTCCTCCTCCTCCTCCTTCTCCTCCTCCTCCTCTCCTCCAGCAGTCACTTTCTCTCACTGTTCTCACTTGTTGGCAGCCCAGGGAACAGTCAGAGTACTCTTGACAAACTTGTGTCCCATGGCGTACCAGCACACACAGACACACACCCTATATAGCCAAACTTTGTAATCATCAATCTTTTTAGTTTGTAATGCCTGGGTCATTTAAGTTAGAGAAATTTGGTTTCCTAGGCTATCTTCTTTAGTACGCCTTTACTAATGACATTCCTGTAAGTCTGTTGCATGAATAAACTACTTATATAGATGGGTTGTGTGCCCCAGATTCTCATCGCTCTGTGACCTTAAACTGTCAACAACTGTCAGACCTGGAAAAATCATATTCAGATGCGTTTAGACATATTGCATCAGTATTAAATACATGAAGAGTTCCTGTTTTATCTAATCACAGAGTTCAGAGGTCACTTTGGTCAGATGTGTTCAATCAAGTTCACCACATTTTTTTGTCAGTGGCTGACAGTACATGTGATACCACGATAGATAAAAGCAAGTTATCATCAAGCATCACACTCAGCCAGCCTCTCCGGATGTGTTTGTTGTTGACGTCTACATTATCTGCTCTGGCATAAGTGGGCCTTATTATCCTCAAATAGATGGCTAGTTGTCAGTCGATATCTCCGGCGACTGCTTCACAAAAGTCCCCAGACAAACCTCTGGCTCCATTAGAGGCTCTGCAGGGACAGACTGACAGACAGAGGGAGGGGAAACAATGGAGTGAGGGAAGGAAGGGAGGTAAAGAGGAGGACTCATTATAGTGGCTACAGCAGGAGTTCTGTCTGAATGTCTGTTATCTGAGGAGGAACACACTGCCTGGAAACTTAAAGACTGGGTTCTTTGCAAGTAGAATCATAATTAGTCACCCCCCTCTATATCTACATATATGAAACATGTATTTCAATGCAAACTCCTCAGAAATACTGCTCTCAGACTGACTTTATATAACCAAGTAGGAAATCACACAGGGTATCTATACCACTGTCCTTTGCAATCGCAGCCATTACCATGGAGGCAGAGCAGTGTTGACCACCACCACAGGATATTAAATTTCCTTCCATCTGTAATATGAGCAGTTGGCTTCTGCCAGGAGGTTTCCAGGAACATGTGGTTTAATTGACCATCAATATGGATGTTTACAATTTTTTTTTATTTATTTTTTTTATACTTTGACCACTTCTTTCATTAATTAGTCAGTTTTAAGGTACAGCGGATGAGACTGCTAGACCATTAAAACATTTTATTTTTAGCAACCCTCCCCTGCTTCTCTCTCTAGACCTCTGTTAGGCATGGACAGTTTGTGCTTTGCGTGCAGGCATATATGCACAATATCCTTTTGTATTTATGGCATATATGTGTGAACATATATAATTCTCTGGTACCTTTTTGCTGAAGGACCTGTGCCTATTTTTACCACATGAATTTGCACCAGAAGACAGCTGTAGTTAGAGAGTAGATCCTCCTGTAAGCCCATGCTGTTTAGCCAGCAGATTGTGCTGATGTGTGTGTCTCTGATCCAAGGAATACTTATGCAGAGCCCGAGATAAAGGTCATATGTGGCGATGTCTCCCTGGTGTCTCATTAATGAGAATTTTGTTTTTTTGGAAACCATGTAGCTAATGGGGAAACACAAAGGAGAACAAATCAATTTGGACTTGCAAATTACTTGGTGGGATATGTAAACAATAACTTTCTTTTGAATCTGTGTGAAATTTGAACACACTCACTCTGTACATATGGGGATGTAAGCGTCCAATTAGCACAGAAGTGTTTTTGCAAGACAGAAGCACCCGCACACGAACTTAAGATTTTTTTACCAGCAGTTACTTTACCTCAGCTTTTTTTTTTTTTTTTGACCCGCCTATACTTTATTCCAGTACATCAGTGGGTGAGGAGGTTCAGAAGAGAATAATGCAAACCTCGTCCACATTTGCCTGCCTCTGTTCTTTATTTATTTACTTATTGTTCCAGTCTGTTCCAGTCTGCTACACTTCATAGGCGAGGAATTGTCTCTCAAATGGTCAGGGAATTTTTATTCACCTAGAAAAGACAGGCTTTTCCCTTCCTCCCAGGCCCCACTGCTCTTCTCTTGTTTGTTCTTCCGGTCCCCCCTGGCACAAGGGTCAACTTCAGTCATGTAAATACTTTTTGCTGCCTCTTAAATAACAGTCTGGACTGAGAGAAGAGAGGCAGTCGCTCCAGCCTGAATCTTATTGCATTAAAGACGCAGCTTATTGTATTAGTGTCCTGCTGCGCGAGGCTAGGACCCTCTACAGATCCTTTTTATGAAGTCCAGTTTATTATGAAGTGGATCCTCTGCTTTTGCTGCACATAAATTTAACTGAATTTCAGATGGAAAAAAAATATGTGTCGTTTTTTTTCTTTTTTGCAATATCTCCATCTGCTCAATGTGCTTGTATGTGCGTATGTGTTGGCAAGTCTGAGGGGTCTTCAAGCAATGATTCAGAGACAGGCTTCTGACTAATTCCTCACACAAAGAGGTCAAAAGTACCATCCTGTTCTCTGGTGTCCATAACGACAGCCTGGGAGAGTGTTAGACGAAATGGATACTGACAGAGGAGAGAAGGAGGAGAGCTGACTGAGCTTACTGGACCTCAGAGCCAGGATTAGCCTCTTTGCCCTTGTCTGGGCAGGGCATGAGCAGGCGAGAGAGGAGAGATACGTGGTAGGGCCGAAAGGGTGAGTGGATATGATGTATAAAGCAAGAAGTGAGGAATCAAAGATGGGGGGGACACAAATGGAGTTGGGAATGAGAGAAACGACAGAGAGGCACATTTCAAAGAAACGACTGTTCTGAACTAGCAGTCCTGCAGGCTGAGGCCATGGCCTCTTTGTGTGTGCAAGAATGAAGTCAGAATTCTTCACTGACAAACTTCTGAGAAACTTCAACTTTTACTTTGGTTTAAATTAGAAGGGCCATCAGCAGGGCCAGTGGCTCTGAAAGAGCAAGGATCAGAACACATCAACTACACGAAAGGGTTGCTCATCTCCTCATACACTGCTCAACTCGAGTTGTTTTCATGTCAGCATGTGTCTAATCCCAGACTACTGTGCCTCAGTATCTAAATGACATGTCTTTTGTGTTGTATTTTCCATTCAGCAGAACACGTTTCCTTTAAAAAAAAAAAAAAAAGTCTCATACACGATGTTGCTGCCTGACCCTGTTTCCTTCAGGACAATCATTCCCAACCTGGGGGTCACAGGATAAATCTGAGGGGTCACAAAAGGATGGGCGATATTCAAAAACATTTTTCCCATACACAAAATGTATTTATTCTTTTCTTCTCTAACAATTTTTTCTTATGAAATACTGGATAGTTTTAGTCTTTTGGGCTTTAAAGCAAAAACTATAAAACTTTTGAAAGAAAAAATTAATACTTCCACTTCAAATGATGCTGAATCCATAAGCAGTAAAATGCACACTTTCTCTCTTAAATACACTCTGAGGTTTGACTGCGCCAGCCTCATTTGGTATAGTATATCTAGAAGCTTATGGTGGATAACTTTAGATGACATTGCAGAGTTTACTGTCTTGATGACTCTTCTTTACTTGAGCTGCACATTGTAGTTTTAAACTGAGCACACAACCGCTCACCAGTCACAGACATATTAAACCAGTGTCCTGTGCCATGAAGCAAACTGTCTTCATACCGTAACATTTAATGCAAGATCAGATCTATCAGTACATGTTGAATGCACTGTACAGCCCAATACTGGCTGTGACTCCAGGCCTGTTTTATTCAATCATTGGGGGAGAGAAAATTGGCGACTCACACAAGGGCTGATGTTTTGTCAGTTAGTTTAAAAGTCTATCAATACTTTGCAACAGTGAACCATTTGGTGTTTTCATTACCTGATGCACTGTTTATTGATCCTGTTAGCTCCTCACAACAATTAGGAGCGAAATAAATTCAGTTTAGCGGATTACTCGAATATTATCGCATCATCGCTTCCCGCAGTCATAACACAACCTAAAGCCTGGAGCGACATCAGTGGTGCTTTTTGTTTTGTTTTGTTTTTTTTTTTCTTGTGTACTGACCTCCGCAAAATGCCCATGAGTTACTGAACTCAAAAGAGCAACTATATGCTTATCAACAACAAAGTTCTGCTGGGCAGCAGGGGTGGAAATAGCTAAAAAGACTCCAGAGACAGATTGGTCATGATTTAGATATCAAGGCTCACACACTGCCAATTCGTTACCAAACCCACCCTGGGTAAGGGAAGGGTTGCTGAGATTAGGAGTGTGTGTTTATATGATAAGAGCAATGACCAATGCACTGACTCGAACACAAAGAGCCATATGCTGCTGACAGATGTTTGGTTTTTTTTTCCCTTCTTCTTCTTCTTCTTCTTCATCTTCTTATTCTTCTTCTTCTTCTTCCTCTTCTTCTTCTTCTGTCGTCGTCTGTTCACGCTTGGTTCTGCTATGCTTCATTATGCGTAAGGTGTTCCTTTCCCTGCGTGTGTTCATGTCTCTGACGTGGACTGGAGCATGTCAAGAAAATGGAGAGAGACTATACGGGGCAATAACGGCAGAAAAAGTAAGGAAAGCGGAGGAAGATTTAATGGGACTGAGTCTGGTGCATCCCATGTGCTTAATGGTTGACTGATCAATGAGCTGGTGTAATTAATGTCAAGGAACATGGATGAAATATTGATTAGGGTGTCTCACTCTGATTCCGTCTCTCGCCGTCTTTGTCTCTCCTAGTTTTCTCTTTTAGGTTGAATTCTATCCTTGTTCCATCGATGGGCACAAATTAGGCGAAAATGATTGCTTCGAAATCTTCAAAGGAAGAAGAAGTGCTGCCTCGTCATTTTACAATACAATGTTGGCTGCTATCAGTTCAAACAAGGCGATTTTAGCAGCAAGTAGCTTTCTATGATGAATATTGCAGCAGGGTTATTATCTGACAGATCACTCGCTGCTTTTTCACTATATGCCCTTGCTTGCTTTCCCCTTTTATTGGAAGTTGTTGAAATATTACTGATATTTTGCACATGCGCCTGCTTGTACGGTACTCGGGCCGCTCTTGCTTCCTCATCTAGCATGAAGTTTGATGGCTTTGCAGAACGCCAGTGGCCCGTAAACGCTTGGCCCTTGAGATGGAGGCAGCTCTATAATGTTGCGATTCCTCATCCTGCACAGAAGGTTATTGTACAACGAGAGCGCAGGGCTTAGACAGTGAATTGTACGGAATAATTATTTTGATCCCAAAATCCTCCAGACTGAATCTACCCCTGCCCTTCTTGCTTACACCTTGAGTCCATATTGATTTCCTCCCTTCAGAAATGCTCAGCAAGGTCAGAGAAACCTTTGAAGTTGTCGGTTGTCTCTACTCTTCCTTGGCCTCTACTCTCCCGCTCTCATTTTTCCTCTGTTTTCTTTCTTGTTAGTCTCTTCCTCCGGTCCTTCTCCACACTCTGTCAATCATGCATGCCCATCACGAGCAAGCCTACCTGTGCCGAACAAGTTATTCCGTTCTCTGGGGAGTCGAGGAGAGGGAGAAAAGGGGAGAAGTGTGGAGAAGGGCATAAGGGTGCACGTTGGGGAAGAGCAAAGCATACTATATGCAACAGGAACTCTGCTGTCGGATACAGGCTGACATGAATGCTGAAGCCTCAGGGGAGATAAAGACGAGGAAGGAGAGACAAACAGTAGCATTCTGTTTCAACTTCATGTCAGATTATCAAATGATTTACTATTAAACCCAAAATATGTCGTGGATTTGAACTTTGTTTTGCTTTAGATATTGAAAATAAGTTGAAATATTTAAGTCTTGTTTCTTTTTCTGTATCTTAAAATGTTCTTGAGGAAAGAAATTTTGGGCTCCTGTCAAAAATAGGCGCCTCAATATATAGTGTGTGCGCCTGTAATTGTATAGGAGATAGTAACAAAGAGTTTTGTGTATTTTATTTTTTCCGTGCCTTTCTTTGAGCGTCCTCCAACTGTGCATTTCGGTTTGATCCAGCCATGTTTTTCTGCTAGTGATAGTCTTACCTCAAGGAATCAGCTCGACTGCTAACCTCATTCGTTTTCATTTGTGCTGCTCAGTGAACACTGGAACTAAGTTTGGAAGGCGTCCAACACCCTGCCTGTTTTACGTAAACAACTTCTACAAAGGCTCAGAGAAGAGAAAGAAGATTTGGCAAGAAACTAAATCAGTTCAAACCGAGAAACAGAAGGACTGGAGACAGGATGACATTCGCGGTTGTAGGTTGAAGAGCAAGGCTGATGGAATGAATCAGCATTACCTGGAAATGTGAACAGTAAAAGTCCTGGCCGTGGAATAAACCTTCAGAGAATTATTAAAGGAAACTTAATAAGTCTGTGTTTATACCAGCTCTTACACCCCTCAACTTGCTCCTTCTAATTAATTTTTTTTTGTCTTGCTTGTCTTGCATCCCCAAAACACAGCTAAGCACATTAGCTCTATCCTTCCAACCAGCACTGTCTCTCCCCACCCACGAATTTCCCCTCATGAGCTTGTCCTTCAAGTGACTTTTGAGCTAATTTGGAACACAAACACTGGGTCAGATGAATCCTGCCAGCAGTAGAAGTGTAATGAGGATTCGGATGAGGGAGGAAGTGAATGAGGAATCGCAGAGCAATAACAGAGCTGTCTTTCTAGCCAAGCCTGCCAAGCAACTAAAAAAAAAAAAAGCAGCCAGGATCCATGGCTATACAGAGGAGAAGGAAGTTGTATTTTCCAAGAAGAAACTCTATATGTCTCCAAAAAACCAGAGCATGTTTCCATTAATTCCCACAACAGGTTCAAAACAAAGGAATCTAGAAATATAGAAGAATCCAAGACATGCAAAATAAATAAAACTAAAGAATAAAAGATGATGTTGCCTTTGTTTGTGACCAGATGAATTTCAATGTACCCCCTCCACAGCGAGATGTTTTTGTAGCTTTTCTTTTATGTGTTGCTACAGCTCGAAGCCATGTCTGTTTTTCTCCCTGGACTCTAATGATTGTGATATACCATGCAAAATGAGCTTTGGGTGGTAAGAGCCTCCGCTGCCCAGGTAAACAAAGGCTTCCCAGACTATAGACACAGAAATCGGGCACTATCCCAGCTTCCTCCCGCGTTCAGCGGATTAAATTTCATCCTGGAGACGGGCGCTCCAAACCCTCGTGGTTGTTATGCCTAGCCCTCCCCCCTCGCTACACATAAGCTTGAAAGAGCTCATAAATCAGCCTACCACAATATATTGTAGAGGGAAAAATGTGCGCCCCTGGCATTTGAGATGGCACAATGCCAACCTATGAGCAGGCCAATTCCACCCTTTGTATTCAGTATAGAGAGAAAAAAAAAAAACAGAAAGACTGTTTGGTGGCTTGCATTTCAGATGCACTCATTTAATGCAGTCATTTGAATGTGCGGGTCGTTCCATCCTATTGTAGTTTCGTAGTATTTAATACAATGTTTATAATGATATTCGCTCACTGGCATTAACATCTAGTCTTATTTAACTAATATTATAACAATGTCTAAGCTGTAATTGATAGCTTTTCCTTTCTCTGTCTCCAGTAACCACTGTTACAACAGCAGTTGCTCTCACACAAAGCCAAATTTACAAGTTTAAGCTTTTGTATTATAATGCAAATTACTGGAAGGGAATAATCCATGACTATAGTTTAACAAAAGCCAGAATAGAGGAAAAAAAAAAAGGTCTGCGAGATAACACTGTGTTTCACACAGATGTGGCTCATTATTACAAACTGTAAATACATTACCAGTGGCTTTAGTGCCATGTCTTTTTTTTTAATGTCTTTTCTTGTTGCCATCAGGCTTTAAAACTTTAACTTCAAAGCGATCGAGTCAAAGCGAGGTCCTTTATCTTCTGTTTTCTACTTGTTTTCTACCTGCTGTCTTGTTTTTCTCCTTCTGCCAAGGAAGACCAATGTGTTTGAATTAAAACTCGGGGGTTTGCACTAAACGGAGCACGCCAGGCATTGATGTTCTGCAGGCTCGTCACTCAGTCTCAGGCCTGTCCTGGGAGATAAGACCCGTTGGCCCGCTTAGGCTGATCAATGGCAGAATCCATACAAACACTCTCCCACACGATTTGCTCTCTTTGTCTTTGTCATTAACTTGTTTTCTTCTCCTATCAGTACTTTGTGCTTGGGATCCTACCCTTTACTTGTCATACTTAAGAGAACTTAAAGATAAGCATTACAGAACAAAATGAGCTGGATAATTAATTGGTCTCTATTACACAGCAGCTGCTTGACTGTTTGAACCTTTGTTGAATGGTTTACTGTTTTAATTTTTAATTCACATTTGTGTGTGTTACATTATTACCATAAAAATAAAAAAAAAACTTTAAAACTTTAACTTTATTGATGGGTTCTTCCCTCCCCTTGTGCATCACAGCCAAGGCTAATTCTGTCATAAAACATGATGTATTGCTTTAGAAATCGCTGCATCATCTTCTCATCACCCACAGACTAATCCATTGTTCTACTCTTCCTCCACTTCCCCCAACCTCCCATCTGTCCTTAGCTAAGGTCAAGTCGAAGTGTGCTCCCACGTTCTTCGCCTGCGCTAATGGCGTCCACTGCATCATCGGACGCTTCCGCTGTAACGGCTTCAGCGACTGTCCTGACGGGAGCGATGAGGAGAACTGCAGTGAGTCTCACAGCATGGCAACCAAATCCAATAAGAGCAATTGGTCTCATGCCATGGTCACCAGTGATGTACTGTCCTCCAGTCATAACAGTTTGTTATTGCTACAGCCACTCATCATACCAGTGGATGGTAGAGGATGAATATGTACTTTACTGATGTAAAAGCACAAATGTTCCTGTAAAGGCCGAGCAAGGAATTAAAGGGGCATTCCAGCAATTTCACACATTAAGGTCAGTTTCCTTATCATGTACTCAGGTCTGAGAAATTAACCCTGATGACGTCATAGTGATGTCAACAGGGTTATCTCAGCTTGGGCATATACAATGAAATAAACATACAGAAAGACCGAATTACAAACTTGGGGTGTGGAGTTTGAAAGATAAGGGTGTTAACCTGGCAGGGAGAGAGGCCTAACCAAAAGGTAGGTAGGTAGGTTGCAACGTGGCAAATGTAGGATCAAGTGCTTATGGAGCTTGACCCGTACTGAGGAATAAAAGTGAGGATATTTCAGCCTCTGCTGTGTCATTATATTTTTTTTAATCAGCTTCCTTTGAGTCCTCCAATGTAATAGAAATGCTATACTAAATTGCTGTAGTACCCCTTCAAGCAACATATCGGCTTCATCAGTAAACTACAAAAAGAACAAATTACTTGAACAGACCAGTGCAGAATAATGGGAAAAAACAACACTTAGTAATAAAAATGCAATCGATTCATTTAATCTAGGAGCTAACAGGAGGAGTCAGACAAATACAGATAACAATCACCACACATCAATACATGTTGCGCATGTCGCACATTTCTTTGTCTCGTCGCGTCTATTCTTCCCTCCTTCTGCTTTCAGTTTGTAAACAAGTAAATGAAAAGACCTTGCTCAAAATACTAAAATGCAATCATCAACATCGTTACTTTGCTGTGCTTTAGCTTTTCCTAGTGGCAGTACAGTGTTTCCTTCTAAAGTGTAAAGCTGTTATGCTTTATATCCCATCTTGCAGAGGAAAATGAAAGAGCGTGTCATTTTATAAAGAATGTAATTTCTATACCGCTCCACTGTCCCCTCCACTCCTTTTCAAGTTATATCACTTTTTTGCATTGTAACTCCTGACTGTGCTCCCTTGGGTTTGGTTTGGTTTGGTTTTTTTTTTTTTTTTTGCTTAAAATATCTATACATCAGTAGACAGGTTGTTGTTGTTGTTGTTGTTGTTCTGCTGTTCTGTTCTTGGTCTGTATTATCACATTCTCCTCACATGACCCCATCACTGCTAGAACGTGCATCAAACCAATCACTCACCATTGTCAGAGGCAGTGTTCCTAGCCTGCAGGGGCCCACACTCACAAATCTAATCTAGCCATTTAAATGGGGCTATGCTCTACGCTCCCAGCACATACTGCGTCACGACTGTGTAATTGTCTGGATCTTCTCACAAGATAATTCTGCCTCATTTTGAAAAAGCTGGAACAAAGACAAATGAGAAAGTGTGCTAATAAGAAGTGGTAGGGCTGGACAGCTTTTTTTTTTTTCTTTATTTCTTTCTTTTGAGTTTCAGTTTGATTTTTTATCAGACTCATGAGATCAAATGCTTCACTGACTCACACCGTTTTAAATGTTTAATTTCTTCTCTGAAAATCCCCATGAACCTGTAACACCCATGTTTTTCTTTTAAATTTACTGATATCAGCGTGTTGTAGATGGGATGAGAGCAACAAGTTTACAAAATCGACTTCTAACAAATTACACAAACGACCTCTGCAGAATAGTAATGCAATTTGCTTTGAAATCATTTCTTTATGCACTGAAGTTTGTTTCTTAGAGGAAAGGTTACACAGGTGCTCCTGTGACTCTTTGAGCTTTGAACTGAAAACCTTTCTACGACCTAACACTTGACCTTTGACCTCTGCTCTGACTTCACCACAGCAGGCAACCCACTGGTGTGCTCCGAGTCTCGCTTCAAGTGTCGAAATGGCCGCTGCGTAGACCGCAGTTTCCTGTGTAACGGCCAGGACAACTGCCAGGACAACAGTGACGAGGAGCTCTGCCTGACAACAGCAGGTACGTCGCTAAATCACACATGAGGTTGTCATGAAAGCAGGCAAATGAACATTTTTAATTTGAGGGGGTAAAAATTGAAACTTTAAATTGGTGGCTTGAATATGTACCAGTGACACGACTTCAAAATCAGACTTGGTGTGGAGTTGCCAATGACAATGAGGCGTCCCTTTCACATGTACTGTAATTACACAGAACCAAGAATGGTCGTGTAGATACATTTTTTGAGTTTTGGAGAGATTGGTTTTGTGATTGGGTTTGTCAGAAATAGCTGCAGAGAGCAATTATGAGTGAATGAGTTAGATAAGTTTTCCTCTCACAGTTATAAGGGAAAGTCTTGAAATAGCCATCTCTATCTTCATTCAGTTAATTCCCTCTATTCAGAGTTCATTCGTACCGTAACACAAATATGACAAACTGGAGTTTGTTCAGTTAATCAGGACATAATCGTCTGAAATATTGGCAGTGAACTTCAGAACAGGTGGTAGCCTGTAGATGCAGTATTTAGCTTTTCTATTAAACTGGATACAATGATGATAGACAGGTTGGAAGATTCTTTCACTCAATATGTCACATCATCTGATATTTCTGGAGACTTCACTTAGGAAATATATAGTACAGTCTGTGCTTCATGAAGATACAGCAAAGCCACTGACAGATGAAACTTAAAGAAGACATAAGCTGCTTTTATTCTCCTAACTCCGAAAAGAACATTCCTCCCAGTGTCTGTTTAATACACACAAACACGCCGTGGCATCATTAGCATAATGTTACAAAATACAGTGCTGTTGATGGCATTCTGGTGAGTTTGCATTGTAGTAGCAGTAGGATCATCCCTGACAGTGAGTCTGATGTCTTCTGTTTATAAAAATGTCTTATACACTGGCAGGTACCACTTACATCTGGCATGCCATTCTTATTCCACTGGCAGCTTCACTTCTCACAAGCAGCTGCCGCCACTACGGCACAACAGTCAGCTTCTGTCATCACTTCAGCTGTACTTTCACTGGCAAGCTGACACCACTCCTGCCAGCAGGCCAGCCCTGATGTGCATATAACCCCCCAGGCAAAGAAATGTGGACCACCGGCAGAGTTTTTTATATTGCTTCACAAAAAGATATCCCTTGTCGAAAGGCTGCGTATGGACTTACTCCGTTGGAAAAAAAAGAAGTCTGTCAAAAATAACAAAACAAAGCTGACAATAACCCGTCAGCATCTAGCCCACAATACGGTAACGTTATTACCAGTACTGACATAGGCAAAGTCAGCAGAAACTTGATCGAAACACGAGAGGCAGAACATTTCTGATAAACTGGGGGTGGAGCTGTGCAGCAGTCACACCGTACAGTCCAAAATATGAACACTAAATCGGGGCAAAACATTTCAACACCGTTTATTTATTCTTCCTTCCTCAGCTGCAGAAAATTGCTGTGCTCTGGCACTACAGGCAAACTACAGATCAGATAATGATTGCAGGAGATAATTATTCTACTTATTATAATTTAGCCTATTGATGTATTTCCTAAAAAAACTATATGTAATATGCTATAATTAGTTAACCATTTAAAAAAATATATGTTCCTAATTAGTGAAAATGATCTTGTGAGATTCTCATTATTTTTTTTTTTTTTTACCTGCATGTGTTGCAGTGAGAGAGAGAGACATAGAAACAAAGAGAGTCCATCCATCATCACGAGCCGAGCTCACACAACTCAGAGCCACAGATTGCTGAATAGAACTGTAGAGTGATGCAGAAATATTGATTGATATCTGTGTCCACTGCACTCCATTTCCTTGTTGACAAGTAAACAATACCGACTCCAGGACCGGCTTGCGGAATGTAAGTGTGCGTCGTTATGGCGTCTGAGCCATTAGATCTCAGAGAGCAGCCTTCACATTATCAACTGGCTGCTGTATGAAGAGCTGAAACGACCAAAAAGCTCACTGTTAGTGGAAAACAATAACGTGGGGTGAATTTGAAAATACAATTGACAATCAAGTTAGACGTAGAATTAATTAATAGCTATCTGGTAGGTCTTTTCCTTACTGTTTTCACAAAATGTTTATGCACCTTAATATGGGCTCAGTGAATACCTAGGGAAAGCTTGATGATACTTCATACTGCCCGTCCTGAGTACAATTATTTTACTCCGTTCCCTTCAAAGAGAAAGTGTTCTGCTTTGCAGCGGTTTTATTAAAAGGCCTGCTATGGTTGACTGAGAGGCTCCTCAGACTGCCTTCATCTCTGAAATGTTTCCAGGGGTCTAGTAATAGAGAACCAAGTTTTGTCTTTTTTCTCATCATAAAAATGCATGATTTTTTCAGCTATCCAGCAGAGCAGATTGGATGTGTTCAATTCACAGAAATGTGTCAGTGCTACTACTTGTAACCTGAGTCTGTTTGGACGTGTTGTTATATTCCCGAAGACTCCCTGTCAGTGCTGATTTTATAGTAGTATTTGTATGTATGGAGCACAAGTGCCCCAAATGTTCCCCTGCTTATTTTTGCTGCTATAGAGTACAAGTGCTGAGAAGTTGTGAGGAGTTGTGAGCTCCGTGTTGCTGTGGCCTTCAGAACAGATCAAGGAAGAGAAGCTCGGTTTTGTTTTGTTTTTTTTTCTTTTCTTTCTTTTTTTTTTTTTTTTTTATCATCACCCTTTGTGCCTCAGAGGAAGTGAAGGCACCGCTGCAGTTTGACTCCCTGCATTTCTTTCCTGTTTGCACACACACACACACACACACACACACACATCTAACATTTTGCTCTGACTTTCCCTCTCTCTATAATAAGCACAGACCTGCAGGTGACAGATAAGGCATACAATATCCGCTCTAAGCCACCTGAGCACGGCATCTCCTTCCTTACTTTCTCTCCTGCACCTCCACCACTCTCCCTCTGTTCAGCCCCTCTTCCTCCTTACCCATAATTACTTGCTTCACTGTCTCCACATTTGCTTTCTCTATTTGAATGATCTAGTGAGATATCAGCACGCAACTTGTCAGCGGACACATCATTATGGCATTTATAGACTAGCAATTGGTTATCTTGCCCAAGGTGTCAGACAGCTAGATCTACAGAAACCATCCTCCTGGCTTCTTTACACCCCCAGTGTCTTTATTTCCCATTAAACACTTTGGCACATTTAGACACAAACAGGGCTGCAGAGAGCTGCTTTTACTGTTTATCTTTTTATTTGATGGATAATTGATTTTTGAAATAGCAGAGAGGTGGCAAAGTGGCAAACAGTGCAATGTAACAATACACAATCTTCTATAAATGCAGTGGTGCAATCTTCGCACAGTGAGATAGAAGGAGTGGGATGGGGAGTCTGTAACGGATAACAGAGATAAAGAAATGGAAAGCGCACCACATAAACATAATATAGTGAGCCAGAGAGGGAGTCGCGAGGAGCAATGAATAGCAATGGGCAGGAAGATGGAGGTAAGGAAAGAGAGTTAGGTGATTTAGAAGAGAAAGGCAGGGATTTGGATAGAAGTGAGTGAGGGGTAGCGATAAGCAGGAGAGGATGAGAGCAGCATCCATCTCAAGTCGAGCCCCGAGGCCGAGCAGTGTAACTCTAGAAACAGAAATAACATGAAAGCTAGTTTTGCAAAGCTGAGGTTGTGTCTTCTCTCCCCCGGTCTTCCAGTCTTTGCTTATAGCAGGAAATAGAGAGCGCAGTGACACAACGCATGTTTGCCCCTGCAACGAATTGTTGTTGAAACACCGCCAAAGGGCGCACAGCACTTGGCCAGATGCTGGGGGGAGCCCTCGCTGAGAACAAGAGAGCCACTCTGCATATCCAAGGAAGCATGTGCATGACTGCATGAGCACAGATACACACAGTCAGACAAACACTCCAAGAGTCACAGTGCATCTGGCAGTGATTGTTCTGCATATTTAATTGCAAAAGAAAAGAAAAAAACTCTTTACTTTAATTTCCTGAAGAAACTTTCTGAAGGTCATGGCTCTGACAAGTTTAGAAAAAGTGATGAGCACAGTAGCTAACGCATTTTAGAAAGAGTTAGAGAATCCCCTTGGAGTCGTTCAAGAAAAGTAATTGATTTAAAATCCACACATCAGCGTCTCTCATTACGCATTAATTAACACAAGTAGACAAAGTATCAGATGGTGTGGTGACTGTGGGAGAGTGATAGCGATTAATTCTCACGTCCATCTCAAAGAAGCGCCTTCCTGGCCGTCTTCTCCTTAAGTGAAGTTGTTGTGAGAGGAAAAGTAAACACAGGGGAAGTGTGACTGGTGTGAAGGTGGGAACAGAGCGACAGAGGATAGTTCGAAGGCTTCAATAGCTCTAAACCGGCTTTGTGCATTTTTGAAGATAAGGTATGCTTTTTGCGTGGACACAAGCATGAAAGGCATTTGTTTTGGCGATGAGTCTGTGTGCACATAATTCAACGTGCATTTGTTCTTTCAATTGGCAACACACAAATAATTCAAAATTTTGTTATGTTCTCATAAAAACCATATGAAGTTGTGACAGTAATGCTCTACAGCATCGTGCATTAAGTTTCACGGTGCACTGTAGCTTTCCCAACATCACACGAGGAAGATTTATGCTCTCGCTGCTGCGTCTCCTCCAGACTCCATTTATTTTCATATCAGTGAAATAATTGGCCAAATAAAAGGCAAATAAATCCTTAAGCTCATAAAAACTGCAAAAGCCTTTAGTTCACAAACACTTTGAAAGCCTCACATCATCAATTAGGCTTCTTTGAACAAAAGGCCCGACATCAATTCTCCAGACCAACGGGGTTCAGAAGTGTTGACATTCCCGACGCATCTTGGAATACATTTACGCTGTTCGCTGGATGAATCCATTAACATGTGATTTAAATTACAATGCATTGTAAACAAAAAATTATTTATAGTTTGTCTGCTCAAGGGTATCTTGTACCACTCTTACAATGAAGGGACTGCACCCAAGGGTAGGCCTTGTGTGTTTACACACTGCCTGAATGTGTGCCGTATCATTACCTATACAT